ATTCTGATATGCGGTATGTAGTGTGGCACGCTTGAACAAGAACACGACATTGTTATTGCTATACCTAGTGATAAGATTTTTCTCAATATGTCATATGCAAGCATCATGGTGAGAAAGTGGGTACAACCTAGATATTGTCAGTATTTCTAATACTAGCTTTCCGAGTCGTCCACTACGTCTTTCAACTTCGTGAAAAGCCAATCTGAAGATGCATTTGTTTTTCATCGACAATTCTCCAAGCAATAGGATATATCTGTACGTTTGCATCCTGCGTTATAGAAACTAATAGTGTTCTCTTATACTCTCATTTCAAATGACTTCCGTCAATACAAATGACTGATCTCATGTAATCTCGAAAGCCACATAAACTCGCACCAAATGTTAAGAAGAAGTATAAGAACAATTTCAATCAAGCTCAATGTGTGCAACGATTCCGGGTTTTTTTCTCAGTTAAGACATGACAGTACGAAGGCAATTTTTGAAAACTCTCTTCAGGTGAACCACGGAGCCATTCAAAACCCTTCTCTTTGTCCCTTCAAGCTTTGTTGTAGCTAATTCGTACGTCGAGCTCACATTTGAAATCCTCGATAATACCTGTGGGAACGTACGGTTGGTTTGCACCATCTAATCATCGCATTATGTGTTGTCCAATTAGGGAACTAGTTGCATGCATGTGTGCATTCCGTCGAATATCTAAAGAACATGTGTGCCTAGGTATGAAACTTTGAACCTTAAATATATCTGAATTTTTTATCTTTGATGCTCGTAATAACCATCGACAGTTGGTATCCACGCAACATACAGTAAGAGATCTAGTATTCGACTTTTTAACTTTGAAATAAAACTTATCAGTCAAAGCCTGTAGTCGAAGCCTTGTGTGTAGTTGTTTCTTACGATTCGTTTGTGTTTTCAATATAAGGATTTCCTTCAACTAGGCCGACATTAGTATTTGAAATCATTCCTAGCTCTTCTAGTTCGAACACACCAACTTCTTCATGCTAGTACAATGCCTCTTCCACTGGTGATAAAGGATCAACTCTGACATCCTCCTCTTGCTCTCCAACATCATATTGATCTGCAATTACACGCAAGACTGCTTGTGTGTGCACATAAATATACCATTGCAAATCGTCATCATCGACTGCATCAACGAGGGTACATTCATGTTCAGAACTTTAAATTTGAGATGGAGTCGAAATTTCATTTTGTCAAGTTGAAACTTTTCAAATAATTTATCGAGAAGCTCTTCATATCTAATGTCTCTTTGAATAACAATTGATGTCGTTCGACTCCCAAACCACTTCTACTCATCCTCCGTGTTGATGAATGTACCACCATGTGAGATAACAAATCTCATTACACCTCCCATTTCTGGATATCGTCAACGCAAAAAATATTAGCTAACACAAATACTAAAAACAAACATGCTACTCATAAGCAATATGGTCAACGACATTCAAAAAATCTTTGGTAGCTTCCCTAAGTTAATAAAATGTAATTCTGGACATTGAAATACTGTCAAAAATTACATTTTAAATGTCTCGAGAATGATGTTTAGTCACATACTTCACTACATGCATTTATCATCTTCTTCAACCTCAACAACCATTCTTACAAATAATTTATTCCTCCATTAATGGCATTGTCAATACATGACAACCATTACAAATCCATATATCAAAGTTATTTAAATAGGTTGTGACACCATGTTTGAGAAATACAAAACAACAAACATGAATTTAATTTTAAAATACTCTAATAATCTTATAACAAGTATCTACTAATTGTTTGAAAAATCTAATCATCCATTTGCATCATATATCACAACAACTATTCAATGCAAGCTTATCAACAAAAACAAGATTTTGAAAAAATTTACCTTCTATGGAGAATTGTGGATGGGATTAAATTTCTCGAAACTAATTAATATAATTTTCTTATGAATTTACGAGTGTGTAGATTCTTTTGTGCTAATGATTTTTCTACTTCATCATTTTCAATTCTATCCAAAATCATTGATCATTACCTAATAGATAATGAGGGACGTTTACCATTGGGTATTACCTTCTTATTAATTTAGCTTTTCATGGAAGCTACATTAATGTCCTAGAAGACAAAAAAATTGCTTAATGTTCATTAAGGGCATAAAAGACAATTTGATACCAAATTTGGCCATTTTTGCAAGACTTGTTAAAATTTGCCAGTTCTGTATTGACAAGTATGTAATTGGTCATTTTTGAAAATTCCCCAAAATAGAATCTATGTGAGTTTAGTACAATGGTGTGAGAAGCTTTCACATTCGAGACGATAGTTCTCACAATTTTCTTCCTCTTCCCATTTAATAATTTTTCTTAACCTTCTACTACAAAAATGGATCCTTTTGGATAAAGAAAGATAGCCCAAAGTAAGTGATGTCCTCATCAAACATCCTTAAACTTCTACTACAAAAATGGATCCTTTTGGATGATTTTCATCCAGTAGAGAGCTAAAAAGGTCAAACTTTTGATAGAAACTAAATACCCTTAATTTTAGTTAAATGGATAAAACCAAACAAGTGGAAAAGAAAAAATTAAAAAACCCCCCCCCCCCCCCCACCAAAAAAAAACCTCATTCTACCAACCAATTTCTCATGAAAGTACTTCTAATATAATCATGAAATATATACTTTGCCGATTTATCAAGTTTCACAAAGTTATTGAACCTAGATGGAGCTTTATAAATTTTTTTTTTTTTTGCTATATCATCTTGACGTACACCTATTAAATTGTACTAGAGAGTAAATTTTAAATATATTCTATTTTGTTTATATAACAATTTTTTAAACGATTTACAGTTGCACTGGAGATGCTCTTATAAGGATTGGTTGGTAATATGAGTTTATTTCCTTTTGTCTTATATTTTATAATTTTTCTTTTTTATTTATTTAACTAAAATAAGGATACTTTAATCTTTATATCATATTGATCAATTGAGTGAAAATCATCCAAAAAGACCAACCGTGCACATTAATAAGTGAAATGTTCGGATGTTAGCACAAGATCTAAAGATTAGGTACAATTTGCACATCAATACATAGGTTAAGGACTATCTATGCCAATTAATTTTAACCACACATTTCCTAATATCCACGGCTATTAGTTACTTATCTACCCCTAAATTCTATCACATTATAAATTCAATTACTCATAATGAAATCCAAACAATCACTATGTGCAAAATTCCCTTCAAAAATTTATGAGTTTCATGCAATTGGTTTGCTTATAAGTTATTTACAACTTTTAGTTAAGTTAAATTTTAATTTTTAATCATACATTGACAATTACTATTCTTCTATTATCCACAAAATTTTGGGATTCGCTACTTTTTGCATTATAAGGAGATTAAAATTAACTTATTAAGACAACCAAATACATGCTCAGACGATCGTAAGAGTTAAAGTATATCAAAAAAATGTAGTATATAACTAACCCACTAGTAACTAACCCACCATATGGGCCCCATTAATTCTAAAATTCGTTTTTCTCTATTTTATTTTAAAGCATATACTCTGCAATAAAATAATATTATACGAAAATCCAAAATCATTCTTTTTTCTTTTTAACTACATATTCTTCAAAAAATTACTATTACAAAATACATTTTCCCAAAAGTTTAATTATAATGAAGCCAAAGCAAGGGCTAAATATATTTGCAAACAAATAATTGGCTAAGCTTAAAAACTTTCCTTATAAAAAAAGGGAGTCACTATTTTCTCCTAGCATCCTTATATATCTATTCGCTTTAAAAAAAAAAAAAAGAGTTTATATTACATTTTTAACCTTATGCAAATTTACTTAAATAAACAAAAATAAAACTAAATAAAAGTTATTACTCTAAATTCATTAGCTAATATCTATCATCTGTAAAAGTTTTTGGACTTTTACATTCTTTCAATTAATAATAATAATAATAATATTTATTATTATTATTATTATAGTTAATTAAGAATTAAAATTTGTTGTATAACAAAGAAAATAATACAAATACTCTTAATAAAAATGGACATTAACCAGCAAGCGAATAGTGTTGCACCATTTTTGGTGTAACACTATTCATTTACACTATTTTGCACCATTTTTGGTGCAAATTATGGTGTGGGGTTGGAAAGGGATTTAACCACATTTTTGGTGCAAAAGAGGGAAATTAAAATGGTGAAATGGCACAAGGGTTTGAGATGCCAATATATATAAATATAAGTTTTGTGAACATATAGTCCCTATTTGGTATAAATAAATTCAGATGTTAAGATATTTTGATGAAATTTGTTGAAACCTGTGATTGAATAGATGTGAATTCCTTAAAATATATTATTAAAATTAATTATCGACGTTGACTTAAAATTTTTCACAAAATTTAAAGCCACACTAAATAGGGATAATTTTGGCATAAAATTATTTTTTTAGAATTTTAATAGGGATAGATTTAGAGTTTTATATAAATATAAAAGAATTATGTAAGAATATAGAGACACCGTATATTTGAAAAACTAATATTAATTGAAAATAGAAACAAATAAATTACAATTAATTTTTTTTTTTTAAAAGTCACTTTTTATTAAACTCAATTTTAATTATAGCCACAAGCAAATCAGTTCAATACTATTTAAGAACACCAGAAACTTTTTACAAAGTCTATTAAAACATTTTATGGCGGGTAACAGAGTGAAAATATATAATAAAATTACCAACGATCAAGGGGGTGAAATTGGAAGATCGTTACGCAAATGCCATTTCGTCGTAAAGCATATTGTTGTTTAGCAGGAAGGGCCTGTCATTTTTGTAGTCGTTAACATGGCCGGCCGACGGAGAAAATTGTAAGACCCTATTCATTAAACGAATGTCATCATTACACTTGTTTTGTCATGCTTGTAGAGTGCCAAACAATGATGTTTTTTCGACATAGTGGGGAATCGAGTATTGAATTGGCTTCTAAGTCAAGCTTAATCATTAAAAGTTAAGTTTAAGTATTTCTTCTTTGTCGTGTCTGTCTTCATGATGTTGGGATTTTTGTGGGAAAAAAAAAGTGTTAGTTGGATAGAGTGCAGAGCAATAACTTGAGCTAGTATGAAAATATCATTCTTTGTTTAGTGTCATCCCTTGAGAATTGTGGGTTTGTGTGATCAGTTTGCTAGGAAGTGTATAAAGAATTTATATTTTCATTTGAAGGGGAGTGCAAAAATGGCAGCCTTCCGGCTGCTTTTCTGCTGTCTGTTTCTCTTGACATGGATCAGTGCAATCTCTTCTGAGACGAACCCGCAAGATGGTATAGCTTTGCCGATGAAATGTTTGCGTTTTTGTCTGAATGGAAGTTGTGAATTCACGAATGTCCATTGTATAGAAACTCAAGAGGATGGGAGAAAATTGATAGAAGCTCTTGATAGTTAATGCTGAAAGGAGTTCTCAGATATATAAGCACATTATTTAATCATATTCATTATATTATGTATGCATGATAAAAAGGGATCTGAGTGATAAAGTTTCTGTAAGATTCTTTTTTATGCATAGAGCATATTTGTATTAATGAAAAATGAACGTTGATGCAGCTGCTGTACTCCGATCGCTGAAAGATCAATGGGGAAACACGCCCCCGAGTTGGGATAAATCAGATGATCCTTGTGGAGCCTGGGACGGAATTACCTGCAACAACTCCACCTTACGAGTCACTGCAATGTAAGTATCTTCCCCTGTACTCGTATTTTATGTCAACAGCATAAAATCGGTGCCAGAAATACACCTGGGTGGGGGAAAAGGTTTCATGGATGTCTTGTGTTTTGCTAGACGATTGATGCTTATGAATTTGTGATGCATTTGATTTTTCAGAGGACTATCAACAATGGGACTAACAGGGACCATGACTGGTGATATTGGGGGCCTAACTGAACTGATTTCCTTGTGAGTTTTCTTACACCTTTCACACACTGAAACTAAAATTTTCTTTTGTCTTCTTTTTGTTAGCTTGGCCTATAAAATCTATTCTGATATTGAGTTTACAGTGGCAATATCCATTACTGTATACAAGAAGAATGTTGATGAACGTCAAAGAGCACACCTTTTTTCACTAACTATTCAATATATTTTTTATCTGAATGTTTATATTTAGCCCAATATTTTAAGCTACTGATTGCAGGGACTTGTCATTCAACCCTGGCTTCACAGGTCGCCTTTCTCCTCGGCTAGGAGATCTGCGAAATTTGAACATATTGTAAGATCTAATGACTGATTACAACTAGAACTCTCAACTCATCTCTTTTGCTAGACACAGAGATCAATGAATGTTTATGTATGTTCCATATATTTTCTGCAGAATTCTGGCAGGGTGTAGCTTTTCTGGCAATATACCAAGTGAACTGGGGAAACTTGCAAACCTATCTTTTCTGTAAGAATTTCTAGCATTGTCGTATTCATTGATTTGTTCTTATGAAATCACATCTTTATCTTACGAAATTGAAACATGACCTGCAGAGCGCTTAACACCAATAACCTAACTGGGAATATACCACCTTCCCTTGGCAAACTTTCTGAACTCTATTGGCTTGACCTTGCTGAAAATGAGTTGACAGGGCCTCTCCCTGTATCATCAACAGAGCTAGGTCCAGGCCTTGACTTCCTTAAAAAGGCAAAACACTTGTGAGTGTTTTATAATTTTCCAAATGGGTTCTTTTTTCCTTTACATAATTTAATTTGTTTACCACTCCGAGTTTGCTGAGGTTATATCGTTGCAGCCATTTCAACAAAAATCAGCTTTCAGGTGAAATTCCAGAAAAGCTTTTTAGCTCGGATATGTCTCTAATACACGTGTAAGTTCGAGGCTAACGTCACTTTTTTCTAATCTTGAAACCGTTATTCAATTCTTATTTGTGGCAAAACAATGGTAGACTGTTCGATGGGAATCAATTGGAAGGGAGCATTCCATCCACAATAGGAAAGGTTCTGACACTTGAGGTTCTGTGAGTAAACTCCTTACATAACTTTCATCTGTTACTCCACACTACTTTTCTTTTTTGTTTTTTGGGCCAAATTATGCTATATCTTTGTGTACCATGGTTTATGTGTCCAGTCGACTTGATCGAAATGGCCTGACTGGAAGTGTCCCGTCAAACCTCAACCATCTCGCAAATATCACTGAATTGTGGGTATATCGTTTCAGTCCAATAAGAATGTAAATGTCTCTGGGAGAGACTAATGATGATTCACTAACATTTCATTTGTATCATGTAGGAATTTGGCTCACAATATGTTGACTGGTAAATTACCAAATTTAACCGGAATGAATCTCCTCGGTTATGTGTAAGATATACCGTTTCACTGGTCCAGAAATATACTCTCTTCTGAGTTCTGACTGATTTTGTTCATGAACACGTGCTATTTTTACATTTTGGCAGGGACTTGAGCAACAACTCTTTTCAGAAAACAGAGGCTCCAGAATGGTTCTCAACTTTACAGTCTCTAACTACGTTGTGAGTAATCAATTGATGCAAAAAATATTAAGTCAGTCAAACCCAGGACTAATCTTACCTTAGAAATCAAGAACCAAAAACCATCTCATTTTGGAAATCTGATATGGTGTTAGGGTAATTGAACATGGACCGCTACAGGGATCGCTGCCACCTGAAGTTTTTAGCTTACCTCAGATTCAGCAAGTGTAAGTCTACAATAACGTTAAAGCAAATAGTTTGATATGTCCATGTAAGAAGTGAAGTAAGCTCATTGATGAGATGTTGTAAAATGCTGGCAGGAAACTGAAAAATAATGCCTTGAGTGACAAATTAGACATGGGCGGAAATGTTAGCCAGAAGCTTCAACTAACTGATTTGCAGGACAATGATATATCATCAGTTATACTTAGTTCGGAATACAAAAGTACATTAATGTAAGATATTTCATTGCTCCTGGAAATTGGAGCAGATAGGCATGTGTATTTTACCCTTAATAATCAAATCTCTTTTTATGTGCTTCAGACTAATTGGGAACCCTGTGTGTGAGACTGCGCCAGAAAATGCGGTTTACTGTCAGCTTCAACAATTGCCTAGACCTTATTCGACCAGTCTAGCAAATTGTGGAAGCAAAATGTGTTCCCCTGAAGAAAAATTGAACCCACAAAGTTGTGAATGTGCTTACCCATATGAAGGAACATTATACTTCAGAGCACCCTCCTTCAGGGAATTGTCTAATGCGAGTTTGTTCCATTCTCTAGAAATGAGCCTTTGGGTGAATCTAGAGCTCTCTCCTGGGTCAGTTTCTCTGCAGAACCCCTTCTTCAACGTTGATGACTATCTTCAGGTGCAGCTGTATCTTTTTCCATCCGATGCAAAGTATTTCAATAGGACAGAAGTTCAGAGACTTGGTTTTGCATTAACTAAGCAAACTTACAAGCCTCCAAAAGAGTTTGGACCATACTATTTTACAGCAGATTCATATATTTTTCCTGGTAAAATTGATTAATTTATAATTCCAGTTCAGAAGCAATTCATCAGCATAATATTAATCTGTAAAAACAAGTAATAATAATTACATTGGTCCAGATGAAGGCCAGGGAACTCGTGTTAGCTCAGGTGTGATCGCCGGAATTGCTACTGGCTGTGCATTTTTGGTTCTGGTGCTTGCCGGGCTGGCGACATATGCTCTACGACAAAAAAAACGTGCTGAACAAGCCATATCATTAAGTAAACCATTTGGTAATACTCACTTTTATATGGTATTGGGTTGTAATATCATGGCTCTGTTGTTGATATGGTACCTTACAAAAATTTCTTAACTTAATTTCTTGATTTCCTGCATCCAGCTTCATGGGCTCCAAGTGGCAAAGATAGTGGAGGAGCACCACAACTAAAAGGAGCTAGATGGTTCTCTTATGACGAGATCAAGAAATGCACCAATAACTTCTCTCAAAGCAATGAGATTGGCTCAGGAGGCTATGGCAAAGTTAGTAATAAAGATACTAGTTGGTACCTGTAGAGCATTGAATTTTCTTATCTCATATTAATTGTCTTTGTGTTTTGTAGGTGTACAGGGGCTTTCTTTCAAGTGGACAAGTAATTGCAATCAAAAGATCTCAACAAGGTTCCATGCAAGGTGGACTCGAGTTTAAGACTGAAATCGAGTTGCTTTCACGAGTTCATCACAAAAACCTTGTTGGCCTTGTGGGATTTTGTTTTGAGCAAGGAGAACAGATGCTGGTATATGAGTTTATGCCTAACGGAACACTAAGGGAGAGTTTAACTGGTAAGTTCGATTCCACATTATATACCAGGCAATACTGGCTGCATTATTTATTCTGAATTCCAAGAATGAAACAAAAAGTAGAACAAACTAGAGGGTCAAAAAGGCTTATACCTGTGAAACAACAGCAGCAAAACGACATTAGTGTAAGCATTTTAAACAACTTAGATGTAATGAAAGGTTTCTCACTGGAAATTGCTATTGAAAATAATCTTATAGACTATATTCAGTTGTACATATGCTGCAAAATTTCTCATTCCCCTCGCTTTACCACCATGGGAAATCAAACGATAATGTTTAGAAGATATTATTCCCAAGATTAAGTCTTCAATCTGAATCATTTATCCCAAAATCAACTAACACACACACAATGCAATTGAGTAGTTCAATATCACTTCCTTTATAAGAGTGAGGACACCGTAAAGTATTTCACCCGGCTTTTATGCACTCTGAAATAAGATAGTTATCAGTTGTTCAATAAATATACATGCAAGAGATTATAAGATGAGGGGCTAGATAACTATACTTCTGAGATGAGCTTCACAATTATTCAATCCAATTTAAATGCATCAGTTCACGAACACCTCTGCCATGAGAACATGGCAATCTTATCTCAAACGTTTCAGATAATGTTTTTGGATATATAAAGAAAATTCGAAAAATGAAGTCTGATCAACAGATGAAGCAATCCTATTGTTTCTTATGAACTTGCTGTACACTGTTGAACCTTCACAATGCAAAGAGTGTTTTTTATTTATTTTTTATTTTTTTTCATAATGTCTGAGCAAAATAATCTGCCATCTAAGTCCACAATATTCATCATTATGTAAACATCATTCATGATGCATTCATGTTATTATAGCCATAGATGGAAGGAGCCAGTTAAATTGTAATAATCACATGGAATTTATTTGTATGTCATGAACAGGAAAAAGTGGCATTCATCTAGGTTGGGAGAGGAGGATACGTACAGCACTTGGGGCAGCTAGAGGACTATCTTATCTACACGAGCTTGCTAATCCTCCAATAATTCATCGGGATGTCAAGTCCACCAATATTCTGTTGGATGAAAATCTAACAGCGAAGGTTGCAGATTTTGGCTTGTCTAAGCCGATGTCTGACGCCTCCAAAGGGCACGTCTCCACTCAAGTTAAAGGCACGTTGGTGAGTAATACTGCTCCTAAATTATAGGAGAATGTTCATATGATGACCAGAAGTGTTCCTTTCCCTTGAAGTTGCAAATCAATTGGAATGTGTCGAACCACCTCATCTTAAAGTTTAAGTTGTTAGAGAGGAGACGATTTATTTATTTAAATGTAGTCTTCAACACGCTCCTCACGTGCAGGCCGTGTTTTATTTTTATTAACGGCACGATACATGCATAACTGTTTATAAATGGGTGATAACAATACTTGAAATTAGGACCTCTATCTCTTTCGATTCTATGTTGAACTACCTCGTCTAAAAGTTTAGACCGTTTGAGAGGAGACGGTTTAGTTATATAAATTTAATCTTCAATGACATGTTCTTCTGCTTTTATATTAAAGGCTTTTCTCCCATTAAACTGTAAACCTTTTAAATAATCAGTTTTCTGGCCTTTTCATTGTCGATAAATCTCAACTTTTTGATTAACTTCATATTCTAATGCTTGTGCTTGTTCTCAGGGTTATCTAGATCCCGAATACTACATGACACAACAATTAACTGAGAAAAGTGACGTCTATAGTTTTGGTGTGGTGATGCTTGAACTGATAACTGCAAAGCTGCCCATTGAGAAGGGAAAATACGTAGTACGTGAAGTAAGACTAGCAATGAACAGGAATGATGAAGTGCACTGTGGATTAAAAGAAATGATGGATCCGGCCATTGGAAACACCCCGAATCTTATAGGATTCCCGAGGTTTCTTGAATTGGCAATGCAATGTGTTGAAGAACTAGCCTCAGACCGTCCAACAATGAGCGAAGTGGTGAAGTCCCTCGAAATAATTTTACTAAATGATGGCCTAAACACAAACTCAACATCTGCATCCTCATCTGCCACGGACTTTGGATCTACAAAAGGCACCCGCAGACACCCTTACGACGATTCTGTACCTAGAAAGGATGCCAATGAGAGTGATGCATTCAAGTATAGTGGTGGATATGCGCTCCCACCAAAAGTTGAACCAAAATAACGGTACAACTACATGGCTTTTCAATCTTTAAACAATTGCTCTTTTTGTCAAATAAATTTAGTTACATATGCAAATAGATTTACAAGGTTTTCTTTTGTGTCCAATGTATGGTGAGAGAATTGTTTCATAACTTGTGGATTGGATAATTTATTTTTATTTTTTCGACATCTTTACATCACCGTATAACCCCAAAGAATTTTTTTTTTTTTTTTAACAGTTTGATCATTGATGTAATAGATTCAAAATTATGCGTTTATGTTTCGTGTTGAAGATGAATGTAAATGTTTAAAATTGTGAGTTGGAATGGATTTTGTGGTTAATTGCAGACTTATAATTGAAAATTGGTGAAAAGTCATCTGGGATTTAATTACTTGGAGGTGATACGTTCTCAAATTTAACCTTCAAAGAAATGCTTTTGTAGAGTTTTGAAAACAAGTGTAGTAGGTCTCTGAAAATTATTGATTAGAGCAATTTTTGAGAGATTGGAAGGTGTCTTTTTTCCTATTTATAGGACGACCATACAAGTTTTCGCCGAAAATTGTAATTCTTGATTAACGGAACAACAATATTGTTCTTCTTTTACAAGATATTGTGATAGTTTGTACCGTTCATGTTGCTACAATACACGTAACTTTTGTGTAGTTTTAATTGTTTGGAGAACTCGTTTAGTATGTAATTAATTTTGAATTTCTTTTAGGCAACTTGCTCTATCAAGTGTCACTTCAACATTATTGTCTAGTAAGGTGACGGTTTTTTATTTTTATAAACAAAACACAAACATTTTCATTACGAAATATTGCTATGAACGACCAACAAAATAAAAAGAGGTAACCAATTAATCCAAAACGCTAAACTCTATGATTAAACAAGCTTACGATGCTGACTCATGAGCCACTCTATTCCCTTCAAGTGGAATAAAGTGACAAGTACCATAGATGACTTCCTTGGTATAGGCCGTTCCCCACCACCCCACCCAAAAAAATAATAAAAATAATAAATAAAATTTAAAAAACTTGTCTTTATACAAAACCCCAAAAAAAAAAAATGCTAAAAAGGAAATCGTTAAAAGGAAAAAAAAATGTTTAAAATACAAACACCAACATATTTACTGGATCACCAATACCTTGAATTTTAGTTCAACAATCACATCTTTCACAAGACTTTTTGACAGTAAGAAATCATTTCTTCCACCATTTAATCATAATTAAGGTTTGATTTAGCCCAGTTTATAAACTATCGTATTATTCTAAATAAACATTTACAAAATATTCAACCATAACCTTCTAAATAAACAATATTTTCTACAATGCCAATTGATAATAGATTATACTTTACCGGCTTCAGCATCTTCTGTACGATTGGCTAATTTGATAATATCTTCCACACGAATTTTCCCTTCTGTACACCAAATTATAAAAAGGTACAATAAAAAATAGAAGCGATTTTCAAACACTCAACTATACAATGTAATTCACAGATTGCAATCTTTTAGCTTCATTTTTGAAATGATGCTAACGTATAAGTGAACGATAATATCGGGATGAAAATGCAACCTAGTTTGAACATTTTATTGCATTACCGTATATTTTGCCTACCAAATAAATTGGCATGTTAGTGCAAGTACAAAACATAAATTCATGAAGCAAAACATCCCAAGAACAGAATGAGGAAGTGAAGTGATGAGAACTACCTCTATCCTTGGAAAGGTTGCTGATAAGTTCTTGAATACCCTCCTTGTCCAAGGTATCCTTCAAGTACATAGCGGCAGATGCTACCTCCTCAGGAGTCACTTTGCCATCATAATCCCTGCCGTTGGATTTCTAATAAATTATCTTCAGGATTTTATTACAGTGTATAAACATTATGAATGGCTTGACAAAATAAATGCAAAAACAAGGTCATTAACTCTAAAATATAATTTGATATTTATTTTAGGACAATAAATCGCTTCGAGGGTTAATATATACCAGAAATAGAGTATAAACAAGGTATCCAGCAAAAGTTACAGCCAGAATGCTAATGTAGAGAATTGATTAGATATCCAGTCCATAAATTATGAAATCTTCATTGGCATCTACTTTGGTAAGCGGCCATTCATTATTCAATCAGTTTGTGTCCAGCTATATACGTGGGAATGTTTGTTTTGGCGAGTACTGATATCTTCAGCTTGGAGTTTCTTATAACGTCAAACTGAAATGTGTATATTAAGCTATTCAACCAAACACAGCTAATCTAATGCTAACAGAATCTAAGATGCAAGTTGACTATCCTAAATGAGTGAATTCTACCTGCAATGGCCCAGAAATGGACCTAGCAATCTCCCTTTCGAGTGAGGTTCACAGGTTAGATCGAGCCCATCTTTAAGTGAAAAATCAAAATAGTTGTATGAAAGTAATAAAATGAAGTAACTGCAAAGGAAGAATCTAAAAATGACATGCTACTATCCTTCAAAAGATCCCTTAAAAGTCGAACAATAATCTTCAATTCAACCATTGGAAACTTCACTCATACCTATCAAGCAATCGCCACCGGTCACCAATTTTTGCATCAACATCATCAATTTCTTTTTCGAGCTTTTGAAGCATGGCATCAACCTGAAATGTGAACGAGCATAAAATAATTCACGTATTGATCGCAAATGCAACTAGGTTTTTAATAGGAAAACAAATTATATTAAAATAGATTATCTATATTGCACTTGCCCTGTTTATGAGTGCTGAGGAAACTTTATCATCCGTGGCTCTCTCAGCAGCAAGGTCATTCTCCTTTCTAGCTGCTTTATATGCCAGTTTCACTTCTTCTTCTCCTTCAGTGCCCTCTTTCTCCACCATGCTATTGTATAACTCTATCTGCAAATGAGATATTTTCAGTAAAAACATATCACGACGGGCTAGATCTGCAGCTCAAAATTCACCTTGCTAAACATAAAAATGCAAAATTATCATTTTCTCTTTCTATAAATGGTCAAGTATTCTAGAAAACAATTTCAGACATGTTAATATGTTGACTGAACTTGGAATTTAACAGGGAATGAAGCAATTTTACATGAGACTGATAAAGTGCAAAAAAGGTTATCGATTACACTTGCATACCCTCACCAAAGTTACCTATGAATTAATATCCATTCAGTTTTGCCTAGTTTACCATATTACTTGTGAAAGACAATGATGATAAAAGAGTGACCTTATTTACTGGGTTCGAAACAATTCTGTACCAATGAACTACATGGCAAATACAATTACTGGTTCGAAATCCATAAACCGATACCACCGAAGAGTAATTCTATACCAATGAACATCATTTGGTATCCACACTTATAGAGTAATTCTATACCATTGAATATGGGCATCACCACCCACCCCTCAATGGAAATAGTAATGTTAAAATAGCTAATAAGACTAAAATAATACTAAGGGGGTGTTTGACACCCATTTTGGGGAAAAAATGAATTTTGGAATAGTAGATTAATGGAGAATGTGTGGATGAAAAGTAAGGAAAAGTTATGAAAATGCGTGGTTAAAAAGAAGAGAGAGAGAAATGAATTTTAATGAAAATGGGAATCAAATGGGGCCTAAATAAATATTATTAATAATGATAATGTGCAAATAAATGAATAAGAACAGATGAATGTCCAGACACCCAAACATAGAAGAAAAGAATGAGAAGGATCCAAAGCAAAATTGGAAAAAGTGGAAAACAAATTGAAGACTAAGATAAAAGAGATGATAACGGTTCAAGAAAAAGACTGGAAAACATCAAGAACCATGTTTAATGATATTTTCTTCGAGGTAAAACCAAATTCAAATTTTTAGTTGTCAGCAATCTCTTTAAAATTGGTTCCTAGAATAACAATAGCCCTGTATTAATATACTACCAGTTATTAGACATATTAAAAATCAAATTGAATAGTCTTTAAACAGTTATCTATAATAACCTCTTTGTTGACAAGTCTCAAGAACTCTTCACGCTCCCTGCTCACAGACTGAAAACAGCAAACTATATAAGCGGCTGACATCGGGCAATATATAAACCACAAATGAATAAGTCACATCCAATCCTTACAGATGCTGATGCTAAAACAGCCAATGCACGACTGAGCTCACACAATTGTTCTTGCTTATCTAAAGTTTTTGCATTTTCACGGTCTTCTGTATCTTTCGCTGTTGCCATCTTCATCTCCTCCAATGCCATATCCTTCTGCCTATAAACAGATTCCTTCAACTTAGCCTGCTCCTCTTCCTCTTTCTCTTCCTCCTCCTGTAATTGACATCTTTAAGACTATTAATGGGAATCTAAGCTTAAATAGTGTAATAAAAAACACTTCTCACATTGAAACTTAACCAAAATAGACATCCTTATGAAATATTGATTAACTCTTGTTACAGATTTTTTGGACGTGCAAAACTGAAGCATGATTTTAGCACATTTATAGTTTTATACCCAAAATATGATACTAAAAAAATACTCCATTCCACAGTCTTTCTCATGCGAACTCTTAGCACTTAGTTTAGAAAAAGTCACCCCTCCAATCTAAGCTTAAATAGTGTAATCAAAAACACTTCTCACATTGAAACTTAACCAAAATAGACATCCTTATGAAATATTGATTAACTCTTGTTACAGATTTTTTGGACGTGCAAAACTGAAGCATGATTTTAGCACATTTATAGTTTTATACCCAAAAATATGATACTAAAAAAATACTCCATTCCACAGTCTTTCTCATGCGAACTCTTAGCACTTAGTTTAGAAAAAGTCACCCCTCACCACAGCTATTTCTAATTTCAAATCTACCCTCCACATTCTTCATATATTTTGAAATGGGTTGGATAACAAGGACATCTCTTTTCTAATTACTAACGATGAATGGGAATGGGGTTTCACATCTAATTGAAATTCTGCTTCCATTTAGCATTCTCAGCACAACCCAAAAGTATTTCATATAACTTGGAATAGAAGAAATGTGATTAGAAAATAGAAGTACATTATTGAAAAAAGTTAGAGAGAACTAATCATTTTTTCTTGTAGGTTAGAAGGGGGAACAACTTAAATGTATTTGAAGGGAATATTAGGGAAACGAGATGTGCGTACAGTAGATCTAGATCTAATGTGCCCAACAGAATATAAGCAGCGTTAGAATTTTCCATTCTTATTGTTAATGCCACAA